CCCCCCCCCCCAAAATACCACCGGGAGCTTGGAAACGAGGCAAAGGATCTACTAACCCTGCAAACGTGAAACGTGTCACTTTTGCATTAAACAGGGAGTGCCTTTTAATGTTTACATTTAAAAAAACATTAAAATGGCAAGAATAGTACAGCAGGCCGTGGCATCCGCAAGGGATGAGTTCCAAGTCCCCAACAAATGCTGTGGATGATGGAAAAGGACGCTTACACCCTGCATGGTTCTCTGGCTTCCTCTAGTGTCCTGCTCTGGTAAGGACACCATAGGAAATACATATAAACATAGGTAAATATGCATTTCTGGAGGGTTTTTTCCATTTAATAGCAGGTAAGTGAATCTGTGGATACTGATCCCGTGGATAGCGGGGTCCTACTGGGCTTTCCAAAGGTTATTCCTTAGATGCCTCCGTTGAGGTATCCTCACGCTAACACGAAACTGACAATGTTGACGTCGATGGGCCACGTTGAAGGGCGTTATTCCCAAGCTCTCACACCACCAAGAAGCGTCAACAGCACTGAGGGCGAGGGAAACGGACCTATTCCTTGTGATCCTTCTTAAGACCTGGGGGCCGATAAAGCGGCTCAGGGGCCACTACCAAGTGGAGAAAAACAGGAGCAAGGGCGGGCGTGATCCTCAGCAGCCAGGCTGCTTCTCTGGGCTACGTCTGGTAGCTTTTCAAGGGCCCCCTCCCCGACCACCCTCCGCCCCCCCACCCCATTTTTTTTTGGCAAAGCTTCAAGGAAAGGGAATTTAAGGGCATCTGTTAAAGCATGATTGGTTCAAAGCGATTGCAAACAGGCAAAAGCCTCATCTTCCCACCCCGAGGCTATCCCTCGTCAGAGCGAGGGTCTGTTGGGTTTTCTCCCCCCCCCTTGCCCACAAAGCTGTAAGCCGTGACCACAGCGATGACCACACCATAAGGCTGGGACCGGACACGATGCACAAGCCAAACGGGCAAAAGCCGAAGCTTGGGACATGGCAAGCAGTCATAACAAATGAGAAAATGCCCACCAGACAGGACAACAGACACCGCTCACAGGGAAAACACCGAGCCAGGCCGACGGAAAAACAATGCCAGGCCGAGAGAGAGTTTTCACAGATGGAAGAGGCAGATGAGGTGCTTTTTTGCTTTGGTCCCCACCTATACGCTGTGGAGGGTTGCCAAGTGACCGGGAAAAACCCTCCCCAAGCCTGCTCCTGTGCTTTCAATGGCAACTTGACCTGCAGTTTGTCAGGGTACCGGAGCACCCCGTCTCACCTGCAGATCAAGGGGCTGCTCAACACGCAGGTGGCGCAACGTGGGGAACCCTCGCAACCCTCGGCCACACGCAGTGGTTTTGTCAGCGGGACTCCTCTGGCCTCACTCTGGCCCCCGAGCGCGCCGCCCCCGTCACTGCTTGAAGGCCGACTGGAGCTCCTTGAAGGCCGCTTTCCTCTGTTTCATCTCCTCGGCTTGCCGGCGCTTCTCCTCTTGCTCCGCCTTGATCTCCTCCTCAAAGCGGCTGGTGACGTTCATGGCTTGGACCTGCGAGGGGGGAAAGCCAAAACTGACCCGGGGGGGCTTCGGAGCCGAGGAAGCCCGCAGGCAACGCCTGTTCAGGGCTGGGAAGGAAAGGGACCACAGAGGAAAAGCTTCAGAGAGCCAACTCCCATGGGGCAGGCCGGGAGCTTGGTGGCGACTCTGGGCCCTTGTGGCACCGATATGCACTCTCCCACTGACTCCTCAATACTGTCTCCAAGGCAGGCAACCCTTCGACAGCCTCGGGTCATCCAGCCAGTCGTGGACTGCAGTTTGAGAACACCTGGACACATAGATAGGAATCTCTGAGGCATCGAGGAATGTCCAGTTTGGACTGCAAATCCCATAATTCCTCTTTCTCGGAGACCCACCCAGACCTTACAGACCCCTAAATTGTGCTTCCTGGAGAGAAGGCCCAGGCGGCAGACTTCATGCCTCGGACAGGCCTAGCTTCCTGTTTGAAAAGATTTCTGAGAAGCTTCCTTTTCAGACAGGACGTTAGGCCTATCCAGGGCATGAAGCTTGACAGCTGGGCCTTCTCCCCAGGCGAGCACAATTTAGAGAATGTCTGTAAATTCAGGGTCCTGCGGTTGGGACTTCAAAGAAGGAACATTTTGGAACACGTCGTTCTAGAAATCTGAAACGCCCATCCCTCTAAGCGACTTTGGGGCCCTGCGTTCACCTTCTATTCCTGCGTCTGCTCAGTGCTGAATTGGTGTCGAGGCGCTCTTTTAACCTCCCGTGATGTTCCAGAGTAACTTTATACCGAGAGAATTGTGGGGACTTTAAAAAGGGCAGACAGACCAGAATCTGAGAGATGCTCA